AAACATTTTCAGGCTGATGCCTTTTCATGCTGAAGCCTTTTCAATTTTTTCAGGCTGTAGCCCATTCTTTCAAGCCCCTAGATCCCCAGCAGGCCGGAGACTGTAGCCTTTTCACGCTGAAGCCTTTTCAGGCTAAAGCCTTTTAAGGCTGCGTTTCAGTCTGTAGCCTTTTGGGTCTGTAGCCTCTTCATGCTGAAGCCTTTTCAGGCTGTAGCCTTTGCAGGCTGGCTTTCTTTCAAGCCCCTAGATCCCCAGCAGGCCGGAGCCTGTAGCCTGAAGGCTGAAACCTTTTCAGGCTGGCTTTCTTTCAAGCCCCTAAGATCGCCAGCAGGCCGGAGCCTGTAGCCTTTTCAGCCTCTAGCCTTTTCAGCCTGGCTGTCTTTCAAGCCCCATAGATCCTGTTCAGGCTGTAGCCTTTTCAGGCTGGCTTTCTTTCAAGCCCCTAGATCCCTAGCAGGCCAGAGCCTGCAGCCTTTTCAGGCTGTAGCCTGTTCAAGCTGAAGCCTTTTCAGGCTGAAGGCTTTTCAGGCTGAAGGCTTTTCAGGCTGGCTCTCTTTCAAGCCCCTACAAAACCTTTTCAGCCTGTGCTGGCTTTCTTTCAAGCCCCTACAAAACCTTTTCAGTCTGTAACCTTTCCAGGCTGTAGCCGCTGTAGCCTGTTCAGGCTGCAGTCTTTTCATTCTGAAAAAAAATCAAGCTAGCTTTCTTTCAAGCCCCGTAGACCCTTAGCAGGCCGGAGCGCCTTTTCAGGCTTAAGCCTTTTCAGGCTGGCTTTCTTTCAAGACCCTAGATTCCCAGCAGGCCGGAGCCTGTAGCCTTTTCAGGCTGTAGCCTTTTCAGGCTGTAGCCTTTTCAGCTGTAGCCTGCTCAGGCTGAAGCCTGCTCAGGCTGAAGCTTTTCAGGCTGGCTTTCTTTCAAGCCCCTAAGATCGCCAGCAGGCCGGAGCCTGTAGCCTTTTCAGGCTGTAGCCTGTTCAGGCTGCTTTCTTTCAAGCCCCTAGAACAATAGCAGGCCGGAGCCTGTAGCCTTTTTCGGCTGTAGCCTTTTCAGGCTGTAACCTTTTCAGGCTGAAGCCTTTTCAGGCTGGCTTTCTTTCAAGCCCCTAGATCCCCAGCAGGCCGGAGCCTGTAGCCTTTTCAGGCTGTAGCCTTTTCAGGCTGTAACCTTTTCAGGCTGTAGCGTTAACAGGCCTTTTCAGCTGTAGCCTTTTCAGGCTGAAGCCTTTTCAGCTGGCTTTCTTTCAAGCCCCTAGATCCCCAGCAGGCCGGAGCCTGTAGCCTTTTCAGGCTGAAACCTTTTCAGGCTGGCTTTCTTTCAAGCCCCTAGATCACCAGCAGGCCAGGGCCTGTAGCCTTTTCAGGCTGTAGCCTTTTCAGGCTGTAGCCTTTTCAGGCTGTAGCCTTATCAGGCTGGCTTTCTTTCAAGCCCCTAGATCCCCAGCAGGCCGGAGCCTGTAGCCTTTTCAGGCTGTAGCCTTTTCAGGCTGTAGCCTTTTCAGGCTGTAGCCTTATCAGGCTGGCTTTCTTTCAAGCCCCTAGATCCCCAGCAGGCCGGAGCCTGTAGCCTTTTCCGGCTGTAACCTTTTCAGATTGTAGCCTTTTCAGGCTGTAGCCTTTTCAGGCTGTAGCCTTATCAGGCTTTCTTTCAAGCCCCTAGATCCCCAGCAGGCCGGAGCCTGTAGCCTTTTCAGGCTGTAGCCTTTTCAGGCTGTAGCCTTATCAGGCTGGCTTTCTTTCAAGCCCCTAGATCCCCAGCAGGCCGGAGCCTGTAGCCTTTTCCGGCTGTAACCTTTTCAGATTGTAGCCTTTTCAGGCTGTAGCCTTTTCAGGCTGTAGCCTTATCAGGCTTTCTTTCAAGCCCCTAGATCCCCAGCAGGCCGGAGCCTGTAGCCTTTTCAGGCTGTAGCCTGTTCAGGCTGGCTTTCTTTCAAGCCCCTAGAACCGTAGCAGGACGGAGGATGTAGCCTTTTAAGGCTGTCTTTGTCCAATCCACAAGAACCTTGGCAGACCGGATCATGGAACTCATTGCTCCACTAGCATGATTGGGGATGTGACAATGGCCACTCGCTCTACTCCCGGTTATATCCCATTGCTCTTGGACCAATGTTCCTACCTTCAACGCATTGTTTTTGTTTCAAATGTATCACAATGAAAGATCGAACCCAAAGTTGGTTGAAGACCTTGGGGTACATCCGAGTTCTCGGTTTGATTCTTGGGGTCAACCATTTTGAGAAGCCACCGCAATTGTCAGTAGTTAAGCCATCGGATTTACAAGACCTTGCTGGGTGAGACAAGTGGTATGCGATCCAAATTGGTGTAAAATTGCGGAACCAAGAGAGACTTCGACACCGTTGGTGATCATCATCCGCTCACTGGCGCAATTTCCAGTTTAAACAATTTCGGATTGTATCCGCCATTCCAAATGCAGCACTTGGAATGTTTAGTGTTCCAGGTACTCCATGTACTCTTCAGGCGTCAGGTGTTCGACGATCACATTCAAATGCGATTCTGAAATTGCCATCCAAACACTGTGGAGGGTAGATATGGATTACCGGCGAAGATGAACACAAAGAGGTCCTTCGATAAAAATATTATATTATATATATTATATATATAATATGTATATAAATACAGATATATTCATTAATTAAATCATATAGTGTATGTTATCCCCAGGTAATTGCGCAAAGGTCCTGGAAAAAGAGGTCGAATGCACATGGCTAAGTTCTGCATCCACGGATCCACTCAGTGAATTCTTTGTCAAAAGTGGACCCCTAGTGGTGCCCAAAGAAGAAAATAACTTATATTCTATATGAATCTATATGACTGTTGCCCAGGTAAAAATTGCCGCCAGCCAGTTGTCTCTGGCACTGTATTTCAAAAAATCCATCAAATACCGAGTGATATGACATTTTCATTGCTTGTACCTGCCATGTCTTGTGTGTAAAATCACGACTCACCCGTTCTCATTGGTCGATGTACCGACGTTGTCACCATCCTATGCTAGTTGTGGTTACATTGGTCGATGCTCGCCTCTCAACATCCCTTTTTTTTTCCGGGAGGATCGTCCCATCATCGTGGAAATTCACAGCTTGTACCCTCTGGTAAACTAACAGTTTGCTATTGAAAATTGCCATTGAAATAGTGGATTTACCCAGCTACAACATGGTGATTTTCCATAGTTCTAGCTCCAAGTTACCCAAATTCAGAAAATTTACATATACCATGAAGAGTTATGTCACAGTGATACTCCGCTTGGCTCAAGAGCCCCGCTTTTATTTTGAAGGTCTGACGCTCCTGGACTCAGCTTAGCCACTAGAGCCATCGTCTTGGGTATGAGCGCGTAGCTGAATGGCAACACTCGGACTGCTGATTCAACCAAAGCCTTCGCTTCGGTTCTCAGTAGGGGACATAGTGTGACAGCCTTGATGTTGTACAACGTGGCAACCTGGGTCAAGGCCCTGAATGTGCCCCTCATATCGGCAAGGCCCCCATCTCTGCGAGGTTCTGATGATTTTGCCGCCACCACGACCATCCAATTTTCAAGAGCGGTCCCTCTGTCTCGAAAACAAGATCCCACGCAGAATATCCTGTTGCGCTCATCACCGTGGCTGAGAGCAAGTTGGGCCAATCCCAAGTCTTCTGAACGGATCCTTTTGAAGAACTTGTATGATGCCCCCGGTTTTAAGTTGGTATATACCCCTCCACCTCCCATTAACTAGTTCGATATATATATATATATATATATATATATTATATATATATATTATATATATATATATATTATATATATATTATGGGTTTATCATATATCATAGAACTTAACTGATATGTATATATATATATGGGGGTTGTCCAAAATACCTTTTCCCGGACAGCCCTCAATCGCTCAGCCAATCGCGTAGCAACCGCGGTACCACAGTGAGCAATCGCGGAAGGGGTTGTTCTTCGTTGATCAGATCATATACATAAAATATAAGTTATGTATTATATAATGAGGATCCATGCGTGAACGCATTCGATTTCAAATTTGGGAACAAAATAAGATCGCGCGGTCCGGAAACGGTCCGGAAAACTCACAGTAGTACCAGCAGCAGTAGTACTAGTAGTACTAGTAGTACTAGTAGTACTAGTCGTAGTAGTAGTAGTAGTAGTAGTAGTACTAGTAGTAGTAGTAGTAGTAGTAGTAGTTGTAGTAGTAGTAGTAGTAGTAGTAGGAGGAGGAGTAGTAGAAGTAGTAATAGTAGTAATAGTAGTAATAGTAATAGTAGAAGTAGCAATGATAAGAGCTGAGGTGGATGGATGGATGGATGGATGGATGGATGGGATGCTAGGCAAGTGCTGCCTTTTTGGTGTTTCTGACCTGTTTTCAATTGGAGCTAGCTTGAATGTCCTTCTGACCTGAAAACATCTGCGCGGATTCCGCGCGCGCGGAATCCGCGCGGCCATGTCAATTATTGGCATGGTTCTGGTCTCGAAAGTAGTAGTAATAGTAGTAGTAGTAGTAGTAGCAGTAGTAGCAGTAGTAGCAGTAGTAGTAGTAGTCGTACTCGTACTAGTAGTAGTAGTAGTAGTCGTAGTAGTCGTAGTAGTCGTAGTAGTAGTAGTAGTAGTAGCAGTACTAGCAGTACTAGTACTAAAAGTAGTACGAGTAGTTGTAGTAGTAGTAGTAGTAGGAGTACCACATGTTTTTTTTTTTATATAGGGTTGATTTATGTTAGTTGTCTTGAACTTGCCTGACTTAGATATGACCTTTTTTTTTGATTTAGATTGGACTTACCAAGTCCGAGCTAAGTCGAAGCTATGTCATTGTCTTTTTGAAAAAACTGACGTCAGCAGCGGCAGCCTTTTTTCTCCCAGAATGCGTTTGGTCAGGTGTTGCATGTTTATTTTGTGCTAATTTGTGCTTGCAAACTTGAATTTTTCCCTCTCGGGGAAATCTTTCCGTTCATCCGAGGAACGTGTATGTGGGTGCTTCAAATTGCCACCACACAGGTGTCATCAGCGCATGTTTGGCCTTGGGTTTGCAGCATTGGGGCGGGATGTTTTCATCCGTCCATTGAGTTCCCCATGGGAAAGTTTGTTTGTGAACCAACGGTTTCAACTGCAGCCAAAGACCTGCGCGTGCGCCACTCAGGCACTTTTCGACTATATAGGCTGTGTTTTCAATAATGATCGGCTGGTTTTCTTTCAAGACATGTCGCCTTAATTGCATACGTTTGCCGCTCAGAAGCGTCTCATCTTGAAACTCTGCCCGCATGGCTTGGCACGCCGGCTTCGTCGGTGTTAATAATTCCCAACGTGTCAAGCCAAATTCAACGGATTCAGAGCGAGTGATTTTCAACATCCGTGTCACCACCTCATACTGGAAGTTGGCGTGCTCGTTAAGTTTGCCTCTTTGGTTATCGACGATTCCACCACTTTTGAGGCAGCGATGTTTGGATTCATGTGTTTCACAGTGCGGAAGGAATCCAAGTTTCAAAGCTCCGTCAGGAATATGAAATCGGTGATGATGCTTTGGGATACTGTTCTCTGCCCCGTAGGCTTCGTTGAAGTCGTGTTGATGCAAACTTTGAAGGCCACGTAGGCGTGCTACTTGTTCTTCTGAGCTGAGAGCTCCGGGATATTTGCGGAGGAAGCGCAGCTCACGCACGCACGCATGGAGACTCTCAAAACTTCTCATTGCAGAACTCAGAGCAGGAGTTGGCTCCACGTGCTCACACAGTACATACCAAAGCAGGAAGACGAGAGGTTCCGTCGCCGTGCCATCTCCTTTGAAGGATCGTTCATTATCAAACATCTTGTCTGACAAAATATGTTTGATGCACGTCTGCGACGGCAACACATTCTTCCCATATCGCAGCCATTGTTTCTGCAATGCAAAACCACGCAGGTTGCCCAGAGAAATTCCTAGCGGACCCAGTGTATTGACAAGCTGCCAGAGTTCTACAGACGCCACACCGTTGGAGAAGTACGCATGCAAGACGTCGTTGCATGCGCCGCTGGGGGGCAAGCACGACAATGCATCTGCGTCTGCCAAAAGGCTATGGGGATCCCATGTCAAGCCATATGCTCTTTCCCATTGTTCCCTGGACGCTTTTGTTGGCTGTGCTGCGATGTGACGAACCGCTGCTTGAAAGTCAGCATCCGAAATTGCCTTGAACCTGTCACAAGCTGCAGAAGCGATCGTTTCAAATGACTCATGCTGCCCGCGCAGGGCGTACTTTGCTATGACGTTGGCGCAGAACATGCATGGTTTCAAACCTGCGGAGCCTTTGATCGACCAAGTTGCTCTTTGAGCATCCATGTCACTCACAAAGAGAAATGGCACCGTGAAGCTACAGTGCCTAACTCGTCCATCTATTTCCAACGCAAAGCCTCTTCCAGCCCGCCTGAGACGACGCACCAATTCTGCCATCACTGCAGACAAACCTCCAGGCACTTCCTCCTGTTGGACCCGTTGCATTACCAACAAGGGAAGCCACGCAGCTTCTAGGCTCACATGAGGGAACATTTCACGTACAGTGAGATACACCGCAGTCACCTTTTTCTTTTTAATGACTGCCAAAATGTTTCCACACGTGATGTCATCATGATAGATGATTGGACGTAAAACCCCGTCGTTGACGTCCAACGCATCTGACACGGCAGCACGCCACGCAGGCGACTCGTCCACCATAAATTGCAGCATTTCCGGTGCACGCGGCATCCAGATGGTTTCGTCACTGCCTGGCACCCGCCACGCTTCATAGCAGGCCCGCGCGTCACGCAGACGTTCGCGAGCGGCAGCCTTCAAAGTCGACTTACAGGCATCGGGTCTGTCACTTCTCAATTGATTGGCAATATTCCAAATTTTCAGCACAGCGTTCTCGGATGCGCATGGCACCGCGAGACATTCATGGAGGTTTGCCACTTCGTTTTCTGACAATTTTCTTTTTCGACCAACGGCAGGACACGACATGTGGCTGTGCGCATATGCTTTGGAATGCCGCGTGTTTTGTTTCTTGCTATAGTATTGTTCCCGGCCACAAAGCATGGAGTTATTTGGATGGTTACTTTATACATACAGACAAGTACGAATCCATGACAGTCATACGCAACAGGTCTCTGTGTCTCTGTATAGTCTACATGTTGATACGTGATTCTGTGCTTCCTTCATTGTACATATACCCTTTGAGCCATAGTGACAGCATAGAAGCATACAGGTTTGGATTTGAAAGCTGCGGCAGAAACAAGGAACGGTTGACAAGACCGGTGACTCAGGGGTAAACAAGGGCCACACTCGTTTTCGCCTCTTGCACAGCGAGACACTGCGCGTTTAATCTGCGAACTCAGAGTCTAGAACTGGATTGGCACCTATGTCTACCTGGCAACATGCTTCCCCGGCTCACATGCTACAACACAGTGCGTTTGGTGCGCTCGTAGCGTCACTTTGCTTCCTCCTGCTTGCTCGCAGTAGCCTTGGCCGGCTTCAAGCTCTTCAGATCTTCACGGATCTGTTTCTGCAAAACAGCTGTTGCCTTAGCGTAGTCCTGCAAGTCTTTGTTGGTAAAAGGCAACGCATCCAAGCGGGCGCCGGTGCCCCGCGCGGCAGTTGCCAATGGCAAGGCGGACACGCAAGCCTTGTTCCACGCCGTGCCACGCTCCCAGGAAATTTTCAAGTCTACCACCTCCTGCTTGCCTTCCAGCTTCGCCTTCTCAGCTTGCTGCAGCAAAGTCTGCGTCGCCTTTAGCACCCTGCTCAGGAGGCCCGTAGCCTTGGAAGCCAGCATGGTCAGCTGCTCATTTGCCTTATTAGCTTGCACGGCCGCTCTCGCCGCACTCTTTGAGGCTTTCTCAGTGGCGGCAGCCGTGTTGCCATCAGTCTTGGCCTTCTTACCTTTCGGCTGCCCTCCGCTCGCAGCGGGTCTGTGTGGAACCACATCCCACTCCTCCTCTTCGCGTCCATCGACGTCATCGTCTTGACGTTTGACTTTCTTCGCATTCTTCTGCAGCACTTCCTTCTCCTTTCTCTGCAATTCTTCTTCGATGAGCTGCCGTGCTTCCTTCATTGTTACCGACTTCACAGGTACTGCGTACAGGGTGCCCAAATTTTCATCCTCCTCCGCTGGATACTTCCTCACCGCTTCTTCATCATAACCTTTCTTGATCCAGACCGAGAGGGGAAGAGACTTCGCGGTCACACGGTTCTCCTGCTCCTTCACCAAGCGCGTGGCTTGAGACTCCACAATCATTGTTTTCACTGTGGACCACCTGCAGCCGGCCACTTCTACGGCCGTGGCACGTCGATAGAAGTCGGTGCGAGAGTCGACTGACCAGCCCTGCTTTTCCGACGACCCCAGATGTCGATAGAGCAGCAACTCGAGTGACAAACAATGGCGGCAAGTCCACGTCTTATTTCGCATTCTTCCCGGCGAAGACGCTGGCAGGGTGCGAGCGCACAGCTTGCAACACAGTCCCTCTGGCACGCTCGGTGCCTCCGCTGCCGCTTGGGCAGGCGCTCCTGAGCCGGCAAGAGGCGCACTTGGCGTCCCATGTCCGTCAATCCCAGCAGCAGCCATTTAGGAACGCAAAAAGCAACGCCCGTAACCCCTTTGAGAGCTACCAAAAAAAGCTGCGGGAACAGTCGTACCTCTGCTCTTTGGCCTACATTGGCCTACATTGGCCTACATTGGCCGACATATCGACGTTTGATCAAGTTTTAATTGCGTCATGAAGGCCTACATGTTGGCCTGCATCAACAAGGAAGGTACAGTGTGCCCCTTGGCCTACATTGGCCTACATTTCGCCTACATCCGATTCAGGCCAGTTTTGGAAAGTCGGTTGTTTTCAACTGTAGCCGTTTATTATCCAGCAGCCATGAATAAAACTCATGAATATATTTTGAGCACAATTCGTGGTCTTGAAACTCAAGGAAGGTGTTATATATGCCCATGCCCCCCTCAATGTTACCGGACACCAGTATATTTTTTCCACTCCGCTTTCGTATCTGAGGCGAAGGTACGTTGCAGTATTGTATCTGCAAACTGGACACCTACCATAAGCCTCTGTACGTCCAATCCCAGGAGTTCACATGCTTATATGTGTTTCCGGATTCGCCTGGAACTCGACCGTTTATGAATGTAGGTATTTTAAAACATATGTATATATATATATATATTTTTTTTTTTTTCATCAATGTACTGTTGTACTATTGCTTAATTTGATTTACCCTGTGCATGTGAACTCCTTCGTGGACTTCTGTGCTCGCCTATAGTCTGTCCTACATTGCAGATTCCCTGCCGCATAGGCAAAGCTTTCACACAGTTGCCATGCCACTTAGGCGGTGTCCTGCCACCTAGGCTGCAAATACTGCACAGCTGCCATGCCCCGTGGGCTTACTCATACGACCTCATCCTCGAATGAGACGGTACTTACCGCCGCCACAGCTGACCAATCTCAAATTCTCCTCCGAGCTGTCAGACTCGCTGGAGCTGCGCGGCTCCCGCTTGCGGCGACGCATCGTCTCAGGAGAAGGCGACACCGCGATCACACGGATCTTGTTTCCCTTATTCTTCTTTTTCTTTGCCTTCTTTTCCGGCGCCGCGTCGTGCGCAGCAGCCTTGCTCGACTTCTCTCTTTTCTTCTCTTTGCGGCTGTCCGTGTGCGGCTCCTTGGGCGCCTCCTTCTGCTTCTTCTTCTTCTCTTTCTTCTCCTTTCTCTCTTCCGCAGACGCCGGCACACGGCTGTCTTTGTAGGACGACGCCGGCAGCGCCGGGCGCGTTGCCAGCGCTGGTGCTGCAGTGCCTCCCGGCTGCTCTGGGAATGCCACGTGGGCATCTGGATCCGGCCCCAATCGTTCGAAGCGCTCCAGCCTGCGTTGCTTCAGATCCTCTGCCAATTGGTCGCACTCGTTGTGAGGATACCCTGCCCTCTTGAATTGCCACGACAGGCAATACGTGGACCAATACTCATGCTGGCTCTGTCCACTTTCATGAGCGGTCACCTCCTTCCAGCAGAAGCGGCACCTGGGCTTCTGCGGCTTGAACCCCTTCCCGCGACCTTTGTGTGGCGGCTGAGGCGGCTCAGGGACCATCGGACGACTCTTGGGATAAGCCCCGGGCAACCCCACAGGTGACCTGGCGCGCGGAGGCGGCGAAGGAGTTCGCTGCCCTGCCCTTGCCCTGGACGGCGAACGTCCGCGGGAACGATGACGTGGTCCACGTGAGTCCGACGACCCCTCCTCCTCCTCCGGGCCCGCAGCCCTCTTGCGTGAAGCCGGAGCACGAGCTGGAGTCACCGGCGGCTCTCGACGATCGCCCGCTGCAGCCTCCGGCATGCGGTGGCCTTCTAGAGCCTCCCGCGTGGGGTTGGCTTCTGGAGCGCCCTCTTCCTCTGTCACCGACTCATAGCTGCTGGACTTTACCTCCTCCTCTTCGGCGATCGTCGGCAACTCGTAGCGGCGTCCCATGCTTCCAAACCTGCAGGGCTACAAGACACTGTGCAAATGACAAACTATATATTGCATCATTTTTTTAGGTTGCCCAACCACACCTCCAACTGTAGGCACAGAAACGGCGCGCTAACCCAAGAAATATACTTGAGCCCATGTCTCTGCAGAACAAACGGACAAACTGCATCAATCTGTTTTCAGACACAAAGATTTGCATTTTCAAATCAAATCCAACTTGGCTGATTCAATTGCTAAACATATATCATCTTCTTTTCGATGCAAGACAAAGAACCAAACTGTGAAAAAGATAGAGAGAGAGAGTGAGAGAGAAACAGAAATAGAACAAAGACACCGGAAAAAAACAACCGAAATCAACATAACGACTCAGTACCGCCAAACCCTTGCTGTCCTGGTTTTTTTCATGTCAAAAGCAGAGATTCCACTCCAGGTATATACAGATATGTGCAGCAAAGTTTCCCAAGAAAGAGACGGCATGTGCGCGTAGCCTCTGGGCATACTACGCGTGCTGCAGTGCAGCAACGATCCCGGCATGGCCGCACCATGCTAGTCAGCAAGTTGCTGAAGGATGCGTTCACGAATGCGAAGGAGTTCCTCTCGGGATGCTCCTTTCTTCACATGCGGCACCAGCATATTGCAGACATACTTGTGCCTTCGATGCGTGCTTCCCACAATCATGACCCACTTCTCTTGGAAGTTCCGAATGTAGCTCTTCTGAGAATAATACTCAACTTTGCACTTGCCATACTTCCGAGCGTCGAAGGTGGTATTTTGGAAAGCAGTCACCTCCGCAGGCACCGAAGCATCCTTTAGACCTTTTGCAGCAGCTGGTCTCTTGAGGCACCCCGCAGGTCGCTTCAGCTTCAGCACGGCAGACGCAGCCGGCTTCTTCTTGCTCGCCTTCCAAGAACTGCTCGCAGCAGTCTTGGGCTTCTGCTCCATCTTCCGTGCCTCCAAAAACTCTTCTGCCAAAGCCTCATAGGATCCTGTAGCTGTCTTGCTGGTCGCATGCCGCGCAGGCACCGAAGCATTGCCAGCTACGTCCTGCTCCGGCTCCCCATCCACGGAAGAATTCTGCTGCCGCGTAGGCGAAGCAATAATTCCAGCATCCACGCGGGCTCTCTTCGTTGCATCTGTCCCATTGAGGCCTCTGCGCAAGAGATCGGGAGATGAACCTTGGGCAGGCACGAGCTGCAAATTTGGAATCGCAACTTTGCTCGCCGATACCGGCGCCGACGGCGTTGTCGCCGGCGCATGTTCGCTTACTTCAGCCTCAGCAGACGCCCGCAGCGCCCTAGGCCCATCTGTCAGACTCAAGAACCGCGCAGGTTCTCCTCTCGTACTGCCCGCGCCCTGCCCATTGCTCAGCGCTGCCATCTGACAGCGCTTCTCAGACCCAGCCACATCAGAGCTGCCATTCCTTTTACCTGGGGAAAAAAAATTCAAACCAGGCAACATGTTCGAGGTTTCATCCGATCGACGACGCCCTCCCCCATCGATCCTCTTGATTATTGCATCCGCCAGCTTGTGGACTACATCCTTCTTCTCTTCCTGTAAGCTCGCATGCAAGCTCCGCATGGGAACTCGCAAGAATTGCCTTTCCACCTCTTGGGTCGATACTGGCCACTGCGCAAGTGGCCTGGCCTCCCCATATGCTGCCTGCATATCTGCCGTCAACTCATCAAATGACAACGGCAACTTAGGCAGCATCAGTGCAGGTGTCACATGCGTCCGCGCCAATCTTGTCTTTGCATTCTGCCAGACATTTTTCACTGTCTCATATTTGCTGCGCAAATCAAAGCTGGAACACTCAGGATCAAAACTGGCCAAAAGAGAGGTCCATGTTGCATACGTTGGCTCATTCGGATACCTCAGACCCAACATCGTATAACAAAAATGTGCCAACTCTTCGGCACGCTGACGATCCGTCGATGCCTTCATCACACGAGACCACACTCCTTCCGGCAAAAAAGCCAGACACGCCGTGTAATCCTGCGCTTTATATTTTTTAACCCCACCTGCTTGACCCTCAGTCATGAGTGCTTCCCTCAGAAGCAATCGCCCAACAACAAACCCTCTTTTGAGCCTAAATGATTGCAAAGGAGCAACACCATCAGCAAGTCGACGTTGCAAAAGATTAAAATACACAACTCGGCTAAGTCCAATCCATGTTCAATCTAAGTCAAACCTAAGTAAAAACATTCCTTCACCCTAAGCCCGTGCTATGTCTGCCACATTGGAGCTACATCCACATGTGACTTAACATAAACTTGCGCAACCTATGTCAACTTCATTCTAATTTCAATGGATTGCAAACTCTTTGCAAACCAGTTGTAAATGGTTTGCATATAAAAAAAAACCATTTGGTAGGAGTAGTAGTAGTAGTAGTAGAAGTAGTAATAGTAGTAATAGTAGTAATAGTAGTAATAGTAGTAATAATAGTAATAGTAGTAATAGTAGTAATAGTAATAGTAGAAGTAGCAATGATAAGAGCTGAGGTGGATGGATGGATGGATGGATGGATGGATGGATGCTAGGCAAGTGCTGCCTTTTTGGTGCGACTGGCAAATCGGCGGGAGGTAAATTGTCGTAAACTTCTTGTTCCTCGTCGATGACTGGAACAGCATCCGGTACTGGTCCAGCACCGAGGGAGTTCAAAGCTTGACTGAACTCGCCATCTTCAGCCAGTTGATTTCTGAGAGCTTCCAGTATTCCTCGAACTAACAGCGGGGGATAGGCCTGTGCTGATCTCGCCCTGCCGTTGATGAGGTTCACATGTCTATGCCAAGTCTTTCCTTCAACATTCGTACAAACACCAGATAGTATCATCGCGATGTGTTGCGAATTGGTCAACCACCTGGTTTCCTTCTTGACTAGGCCTTTGCCCCATGCATCGGAGGATTCCATCTTCCAACGACACATAGGTCCTGTGACTTCGTACAAACGGGGATCTTTGCGTAGTTCTGCTCTTCCCAACTTCGTGCACCTTTTGGGTGCTCATGAAGGAAGTAACGACCTGCGTCCATCTGTGCGCGGTAAGCACGCACTGAAGTTCTCAAGTGCTTCTTACCTTCTTGAAGTCTCTTTGACCTAACTGACGCGGGGACTTGGTTCCTGGCGTCAACAAGGTTGTGAAGTTGCGAGAATGGTCCACATGGCGGTGAACCACCTAGAAGTTTGGGTTTCTCTTTGTCCAAAAGCGTAAAAAGGTCTTCGATGTGCGAATCTTTGCTGAGATCCCAATGATCTCCATCCTCTCTCTTTGTCTCAAGATCGATTGCGAATCCAGGTCGCAAACCGACCAATTGAGCTTGCGCTGAAACTCTTGGGGGTGAGAAGATCTCGGAAACAGTCTTCTGCACATGGCTTCCCTCAAAACTGAGCACACACACATGGACAGGTGTCCAATGTCTGCCATGTCGTTTCCTCCTGGTGAAGCATCTGGAGGTGCGACTGGTGAATGTGTGGTCGAGGGTCATTACTCCCGGCAGCCGGAATTGGTCCCGACTCAACTGCTCCTACTGCTGGAACTTCTTCCTGCATCTGTTGATGCAACTCCTCAACATCTGCTTCTGAACTTCTCTTTATCCGACTGGTGCCGGACTTGTGCTTCTTTGGGCTTCTCGGCTCATCTTCTCGTTCCTCAAGCTCGCGGGGTGCGACTCGTTCCAATGGTTCTCCAACAGCTTCTCCCGAGGCCATTTCGGCGTCAGGCTCTGGAATGCCTACCAACGCAGGAACGTTGGCAGCCTCCACAACCTCTGGCTCATCTGCCCCTCCTCCGACTCTAGGAGCTTTGGGCGGCGCCCTGACTCTATTCTTGCCTTTGCTGCTTCAATCCTTTTCTTCCCTTCTTCGGACTTCATGAGCTCGCCTTCGATTCTAAACCTGCACTCGGCATTGTGGGCCCTACGCCCTGTCTCAAACAACTGCGCCTCAGATCCCGGACACAACGGGGTCCGACCGTACTTCTCGATGTCACTCTTCGTCACATAGAGATTCCGTGGAATCACTTCTTCAGCTGGTGGTCGGCTCAAAGGCCCGACAACCAGTGGCAAGTCAACTCGAACCTCGCCAGCCTCACGCGATTGGAGTCTCCAAGGAACACCACGGAGTTCACTCCAATTCTCGTACTTGAACTGATCTTCAGGAGGTCTTCGAGTGATTGCATTTCCTTTGACAATTCCTCTTGCCGTCATGACGAAGATGTCGTTGTTGCGCAGCCCTGTGCCCACGAACATTCCCATGGACACTCTTGGTGCGAGATCATGACGTCGTCCGTCTCTTGGGGGTCTTGGCCTGAACAATATGCTCCCCAACTTACTAACGGTATCCTCCAGCTTCTTCCGAAGGTCCGTTCATACGGTGTCTTTCCATCCGGTCCAATCCGGAACCTAGTGAGGAGGTAGGCTGCATGGCGTGGCAGCCACATCATACATGGGTGACTTGGTTCCACCTCGAACCCAAGCCTTTCCTGAAAGTCAGACAACATCGCCCTGACATGCCCTGACTTGTCTCTTCACTTCTCTTACTGCGACCTCAATGAAGCCGTTCGCCTGGTGATCCTCCACCGGCGCCTCAGCAAGATGAATCTTTAACCTGCTTTCCTCCGCCTTCACTTTATTCTTCAAAGCCACAATCGCCGGCTCGCGCTCTTCAGGCATAGTTCTTTGAAACCTGTTTCGTTGAGGCAAGATTTCAACCATTCAACTGCGAACAATTCTGCACCCTTTGATGGAACTACGTTTGCCCAATAGCGCCCAGTCTTGTGGCACTTGACAACTAAGCAAGGCAAAATGCCCTCAGCGTCACTCTTTTCCTGCCCTGAATTCAGGTAAAAGTAATCTAGTGAAACATACGGCATCCTACCATCCTCATCCCGAGCTGAGTCACCGCTTCTGTGGCGTTGGCCCGTTACCCGAGCCCTCTGACAGTGAAGACACCAGCTTCGGTGAACCACGTGCCCAGCAGCACAGTGTTCCTGTATTTCTCGGTCGGTAGGATCTGCGGGGGAACGCTTCACGATCACCTACCTCTGTTCTTCTCCAATCTCTTCCGAAGACTCGTGGCCGTCTTCTGCGGCCTCATCGCCACCAAGGTCTCCTGCCGACGCGGCTGGAGCGCCTTCACCATCCAGTGGCTGTAACTCCGGACTTACACCCGTTCGGGAGGCCCGTGAAAAGAGCCTTCCCAAGATGTACTAATCGCTGCCTAATTAAGCAGCATCAAAAAATTAACATATCAATGATGAAAATCATCATTTTTTACATGACGCAAAATGCCATGAACTCATGCTTTTGCAGTCTGAACTGCACATGTTTGATCTTGAAATCATCGCTTAGCAGGCAAAAAGCCATGACAACCACAGCTTTTTTATCAGAGAAACTGGTCTTGGCCATTGTTTTCGGCATTCCAGATGTGCAAAGCGCTTCTTGTCACTAAATTCTTGGAAGCTTGCACAGCCACAAAGCTTGAGCCAGTTTAGAAGAGCAACTTCCTTGTTACCGAACTTCCCTTCAAAAAACATAAGCAAAAATTGCTTTGACCCTGCACATGCTGGAAACATGTTACTTCAGCTAAGATCTGGCCCTGCTGAAAAGCTCAGCTCCTTTTTTACACCATGCCACCTGAATACCGCAGGCATACCTGTATGATATACCTTTGCAAGGTTAGACGGCTGGTATGCGCAGGGTGTGCAATGGCAGCCAGTCTTTTTGACCGTGCCACTGCATCCTCATCACTGTAGTTTGCAAAGTACCTTGGATTCCTTGGCAAAAAATTGTACACCAGATGGCCCAGTTGGTGCAACTTGGGCCTCTGGTGGTATTTCACTTCATCTCTGGCAATGGCTCTGCCTGCCAAATTGTTCAGGCAGGCTCGGAACATCAAGTATGCACATTTGAAGGAGCGATCGCCGTCAGGACTCAACAGACGCCCATTGTTGAGCATGACCGATTCCATCGTGGCCAGTCCGCCAATCAGCCCAGCTCGCCACCTGAGCGATCCAGGCTTGGCACTTTCAAGACGTATCGGTTTGAAATTTTCCATTTTCGAACCTGAGAAAAAAGACAAAAACAAACAAATGTCTCATCACATGTATCGAGACACTGCCCTGCCAAATCGTTTGTGTTGACTTGCTGCAGCAACGCATGGATCCAGAAGATCAAGTAGCGGCAGGCGGTTGCCGAAAGAATCTTTTGGCTGATCTCACAGAACTTTGCGCCTCCTTTTGGTCTGAGCACGCTGGTGTGGAACATGCGCTTTGAAGCCCTGTCTGGCACTCCTCAGCTGAAGTCGGATAGTGAAAATGCATATATATATATATACATGGTTTATATTTGTATATATATAGAACACATGTATGTATATGTTGCTATCATCGTAGTAGCGTTAACATAGCTTTTGGAGTTTCCAGGTCAGAACTGGCAAAACCTGGTGATCAGAGCATGGCTGGATTTGACCTCATCAAAAAATACTATCAAAATTGGTGATCAGAGCATGGCTCGACTTGATTCCATCAAATTATAAATATCAAAAGAGGTGATCTGATTGTGGCACGAGTTGGTGTTGTCAACAGATGATCCAGACCAGGAGATCAGTGGGTAAGGAAATGAAGAAAAACAGAGTGATCAAATTCATGAAAGAACCCTGGGCTACTCCTAACGGGGCTACTCATAAAACTTGCTATCCTTTCCAAAAAAAAACGAGACAATTCCAGGAAAAAAACATGAAAACATCTAAAAAGTCAAAAAAAATATTCAAAAATCCAAAAAATTAAAAAAAAAACTAGAAAAACAGCAAAAAACGTTAAAAAACACGAGAAAAAGAAAGCGGGAGTGAAGCGGGAGCGAAGCGGGAGCGAAGCGGCAGGCAAGAAAACCATGGAAAACCGTGAAAAAACATTGAAATCATCGAATCCGCTTCGTTCCCGCTCCGCTCCCGCTCCGCTCCCGCTTCGTTCCGGCTCCGTTCCCGCTTCAAGCCCGTGGAGTCTTAACGCTACCATGATCATTTCAATGTCTAGGTGTCAAGGGTTGTTTCTACTGAAAAATCATCAGAAAATACACGCCGTGTATCAAGGTCAATTTACGCACCAAAAAATTCACCAAGTTGTTGCCACCAAAAAATCACCATGAAACCCTAGGAGTGTTAACGCTACCATGATCATTCCAATGTATATGTGTTTATTCTCTATACATGTAAAAAATCAATGTATATAAATAGCCCCAACAAGCATGCAAATCGTTTGAAACCCCAAACGCGCAAAAATACGTTGAGTTTTAGTTTCCGGCTGACTCCGCCCAACTTCGATAGTTGTGCCATAACGTCTCCAGTTTCTGATCTCTGGTGCCACCATTGATGCCGATGTTTGGCTCCGCCACCAGATCCAACAATATCGAAGATATGCTATCTGTTGCACACGCCAAATGCACGATGTGCATATAGTCCGGGTAGAGGCCTAGGCCGTTGGCCACGGCTAGTGTTTCTTCAGATCAAAATTACAACAAACTGTTTCGGAGATGTAAGGCATCTGGGAAATTTAAAGGCAAGGTTCGTTCCGGATCAAACCCGCAAACTGTGCAGAGAGGACTGGGACCGTGCAACTGGATGAACTCGGCCGTCGGCACAATCCTTGGCTCGAGTTTTTTAAGCACATCGAAACATCACCGATTTTTGGAAGGGGCACCATATGAAGTGGTATATGCAAATGTTTCACACAAACAGGTCAGATGAGACTCGTTCTTGCAGCTTCGCATGGGCCAAAGTTTGTGTAAAGATTGTTGGCGTTGTTGTGGATGTGAAAATGTTTGTTCGACACCCACTGAATGCAGTCACATAGATGGCAGCAAAACTGTCTATTGGGCCCCCGTGACAAGTCAAAAGCGACTCTCAGCCAGTCTTGATCGGATTGTATTCCTTCCAGCACTCCAATATACCCTTGCGAAGATATCGGTTTCCCTGCTTGTTTTGCCCTGTTTGGATAGTACTGGTCGTCAAAAAATTTCCCCCATGGGTCTTGAGCTGGGAAGATTCCGGCACCTAAGAGTCTCACCAAATCTTCAAAAAAATGCATGGATCAACAAGCATTTGAATTGCAGGGATCTGCAAAATACCAAGGTGTGAATATTGAAAATTAATAGTCATCCAAAGCACTCAAGCAGTTGAGCGACCATGCCACAGCTTCCAAACATTTCGCCCGGGCTTCATCTTTACTGTAATTTGTGTTGATCACTGACAGCCTCGGTGTGCCATGCGCAGCGGCGCAGCAATGTGGGCTTGACTGGATCGATATATTTGACGTGGCCACAGCAAACTCCTTATTTTTGCAGCTTGGTTGCATGATCCTGTTGTCGAAGGTGCTGCTGGATGGGCACATCGGAAATTGGAGAAGCAATGGTTCAAATTTCTGTTTTCCTGGGATCCCATGGCATATCAATGGGCTCACCAACTTCAAATCGGAGACATGTTTTTGTCTAGTTGCAAGCAAAAGGCGCTGGCTTTCAGCGCCATCTCCATACAGTCTCACAGGGATCGTTTTGGCGAGGTTGCAGCATGGGTCCTGATTTTCAGCGTTGCATGTCATCGGAAACCAAAGATTAAAACGGTATGACATGATGAATTTGACATTTCCCGTCTTCACAGTTTTCATTTTCCACTGAGTCACAAAATCTGAGCCAAGTCTCCGATAGGACAGGGTGATTTTGAAACCACCGTGTGCTCTTTTCTGTCTCCCAAAATGTTGAAAGATCCTAGGGATCCCAGAAGTTGAAATAAGATGTCTCATGTCCATCGTTTTGAATCATGACCCACTCCTCTTTGAAATTAAAGCAAGCTACATGCCACTGAAACTATTCTGTGATGAGCCACTGTGTCGGCACCAGCCACCCGTGTAGTCTCCCCGGTCTCCAAAAATGTAGCGACGACTTCATGAGGCAACAGCATCTCTTGCAAAGTGGTCTTGGGGTTGCCATGGCTGTCATCCCAGTCCTGGCATGTATAAAGGACGATATAGCCAATCAAATGATGTTCAACCAATGGATGACCACACTGAGGGCTGCTCCGATTTGACATGAAAGCCAAATGTCTCAGGAAGTTTGCGTCCTAAGAACTCATGACGATCGACCCTGGTAAGAAATGTGGATAACTAGCAACTCACCACATTGAATCCCACGATAATCTCATAGTTGGAGGCAAGAAGCGCCATGGTTGTTGCCAGACCCATTTGTCCACTATTCTTGCAGCTCCC